GCCTCTCGATCTGAGCGACGACGATTACGAGCTCGGCCTGACCAATTTCGAGACCTACAACACGATTCCGAACGTGAATTCTCTCGATTCCGAACAATAAATTTTACTTCGATGACAACGACGAAACGATCACGATCCCGATCGGATCCTACGAGCTGCGCGACATAAGCGCGTACCTGAGAGCCGCGATTCTTTGAAGACGGCGACGACCGCCGAGCGCGAGTACCGGAAGAAGACGGCGGCGATAGCGCCAGCGACGGCGACGACGACGAATATCTGTACGACGTCGAGGACGCGGAGGACGAGAGCGGCGATCGCGTTCTCGCGCTACGCGGTAACGACAATACCATGAGAAGCGAAATCAAATGCGCGTACCGAATTAATTTCACCAAACCGAACAATATCGGATCGTTATTAGGTTTCTCCTAATCTCGCGTATTGCGGCCGAACAAATGGTACGCGTCCGACGAGCCCGTGAGCATTATCGCGGTTAACACGATTTGCGTGGAGTGCAACCTAACGACGGGCGCGTACGTGAACGGGAGATCCGCCCACGCGATACACGAATTCGCGCCGAACGTCCCGCCGGGATATAAAGTGTCGGAGATCCCGAGGCAGATCATTTATCTGCCGGTCATCGCGCGACTCGTGACCGACGTATCGCTGCGCGTCGTCGATCAGGACGGTCGATTGATCGATTTCCGCGGCGAGGAGATCTCGATTCGATTGCACGTGCGACGCAGACGATAGAGAGCGCGCGGCGAGGACGGGGGAGGGAACAGGGCGATGCTCATCGTGCGCGAATCTAGCGTCGCGACGTCGCATCGCGACGGCAGCGGCGGCGACCACGATCGCGTCGCGGGAACTCGAGTCGCGCGCTCGAGAGAGAGGAGCGTCGGAGGATTGTCCGCCGTCAACGTCGCTTTTCTGCGATCCATGGGTTTCGTCATACCGAGAGCCGCGCGATAGTTCGACGACATGAGGGACATTCTGAGCATCGACGGGGAACCCGTCTTCCACGATCGCATCGTGAAGATCGAGAGTCACACGTACAATCCGTACGCCAACACCACTTTCGGATACAGCGACGAGATACGAATACCCATACAACAGCAGGACCTATACACGCTGCCGTGCGAGAGTTTTCTCTACGTCGAAGGTAGACTGCATACGAAGAATAATCCGCCGTCGAGCGGCGAATCGGGTAAGCCTGCCTCGGTCTCTAAGGAGCTGTCCGTGTCCTCGACGCCGGCGTGACTCGTGAACAATTGCGTCGCCTTTATGTTCGAGGAGATACGTTACGAGCTCGATGGCGTGGAGATCGATCGTAATCGCAACGTCGGAATAACTAGCACGATCAAGAACTACGTCTCGCTGACGGCCGAACGAGGCAAGATCTTGAAGAACGCCGGATGGGATCTCGCAACTGGACCGAGCGTCGCGTCGACGGGCGACTTCAACTTCTGCGTTCCTCTCGACACGCTGCTAGATTTCTGCGAGGATTACAGGCGCGTCGTCATCAATGCGCGTCACAAGCTGATTCTGATAAGAGCGCGAAACGACAACAATTGTCTGATATCGCGCGAGGAATTCGAGCCGAGAGTCGAGCTCGCGAAGATACAGTGGCGCGTGCCGCACGTGGTGCTGAATGACGTCAACAAATTATCGCTGTTGCGCACGTTGGACAGCGGCAGATATCTGAGCGCGCCCTTTCGCTCGTGGGATCTCTACGAGTTTTCGCTCCTGCAGAGCACGACCAAAGACTCGTGGGCCGTAAAAGCGGCCACGCAACTCGAGAAACCGCGTTACGTCATCTTCGCGTTGCAGACCGGAAGGAAGAACGTCCTGTCGCAGGACGCTTCCAGATTCGACGCATGCAATCTGACCAATGTAAAGTTGTATCTCAATTCCGACTTCTATCCGTACGACGATATGAATTTGGACTTCGATAAGAACAAGATCGCCGTACTGTACGACGCCTACGTGAGATTTCGACGAACGTATTACGGATCGGCGAGCGACGAGACGCTCCTGACTATGAACAAATTTCTACACTGCGGCCCGCTCGTGGTGATAGATTGTTCCCGCCAAAACGAAGCGGTTAAGAGCGCCACTGTGGACGTTCGTCTAGAATTCGACTGCAAGGACAACGTTCCTTCTAACGCCACGGCGTACTGCCTAATCATTCACGATCGCGTGGTGGAGTACAATCTGCTGACGAACGTCGTGCGTAAGATCCTGTAAGACGAATGGGGGGAGAGAGGAAACTCGAAATCGCGAAGATATCGGGGAAAGACGCGAATAAACGTCAGTCTCTCGCGACGATAATCGCGATGATGATCGCGACGACGATCACGGGCGATATCGCCCCGCCGCTCTTCGTCGATCTGCAGGGCTTCGTCGTCAACGAGCGATTCGTGACGAAGGAGATGGCGATACTCGCGAACGGCAGAGATCTGACGCATCACGTCTTTCGCGCGCCGATGTCGTGGAATCTGCTGACGAAGAGCGAGAAGTCGCAGGCCTGTTGGCTGACTCTTAATCACCACGAATTTCACTGGACCGACGGACACGTGAAGTATAGGCACGCGAAGCGGATCGTTCGCGACGCGATATATCGCGCGTCGAGGGATCTCGTGTCGAACGCCGCGGTGACGATCTACGTCAAGGGTCGCGAGAAGAAGAAGTGGCTGGCCGACATCGCGGGAGAGGACGCGGAGCAGCTCGACCTGACGATCGAGATCATCGACGCCGATTACGAGGATATCGGACCCCTTCGAACGCTAGCCGCGACTCGCGTCTATCGCTGCGGCTATCACTCGAAGAATTGCGCCTTGGAAAACGTGTGCAAACTGCACAACTGGTGGTTGGAAAGACGCGATCAATTGCGCGACATGTAAACAGAGACGCTATCAATTGCGCGATATGCGAACAGAGACGCATCGCGCGATGATTCGCGCGCCTCGCGCATTTTCCGCATCGTAGATTAGTTTTGCGCGTACTCTTATCGACTTATTAGCGGTTAATTTATCGCGCCTCGCGCGTTTCCCGCATCGTAAATTAGTTTTACGCGTACTCTCGTGGACGTATTAATGACTAGTATTTTTATCGCGCCGATTTATCGTCTACCTAGAAAAGTATCATTAATACTTAGTAAAAATAATATTAATAATAAGAAAATATTAATACTAAGAAAAAATTAATACTAAGAAAAAATTAATACTAAGAAAAAAATTAATACTAAGAAAAAATTAATACTAAGAAAAATAATATTATTACTAAGAAAAAATAATATTAATAATAAAATATTATCATTAACATAATATTGAAATAATATTAAAATAATATTAAAATAATATTATTACTAAGAAAAAATAATATTAATAATAAAATATTATCATTAACATAATATTGAAGTAATATTAAAATAATATTAAAATAATATTTAAAAAATATTAATGAACGAATAAACGTTAACTCGTATCGCGCGTACGCGGTGAAACGCATTTTCATACACTTCCTCCGAAGCAATCGAGAATTTATCGCGCCTCATTACCTCGTTATATTTCCGCGTTATTTTTCACACCGCGTTGTAGAGTATCGCGCGGGCATTCGACGGCGTTATAACAAATCTGAGATAGTAATATCGCAGGTATAGATTAACGTCGAAAGACCGTCTTTTTCCTCAGACCAAGTTTCGCGATCGCGCTATAAGTGTTATTTGTGCGAACGATGGACGACGAAATTTCAAAGTTACAAAGAATGCTCCAAGGAAGTATGTTCGCGTGGATGACGGCCTGGAAAATAAGATATATCAGGAAACTCATAAACGCGATCCTCGATATAGCGATAACGTGGAACGTAAGTATCCTTTCATCGTCGTTTATTCTTTCGCTCTCCTTCGAGGAAATATACGACGGTCGTCGATCGCGCGACATTTTTTACAGTTCGAGGAAGAAGTCGAGATCGGGGGATTCGTGAATATATATCGCCGGTGTTGGATACGGAGAAGAAGACGGGCGCACTGCATATACATGGATTTACTGTGATGCGACAAACCATCTCACAAGCTATGGGAGAAACACTCGCCTGACATCTTCGTCGACATATTCCGTTTAAGAAGATTGTTCGGAATGGAGCTACTCGTTCCAGATAATAAGATCAAAACCGAACATCTCTTCGATAACGAATCTTTCATAGAAATGTGGTACGAAGATATTAGTCCGATCGACGAAATTAGCTCCGCCCACACGAGCGACGATGAGTTTCAATCGAGGTACGTACATACCTCTCTTCGTCTAACGCGTCACCCTTTCGCTCCGCGTATCTCGATACGATCTATTAATACTACGCTTTCTATATTTCAGACGTCTCGCCGGTTTCAACGCCGAAGGACTGCGCCTTCCCTCCGATCTCGACTCGCATTGTTCCTGCGAGCGTTGTCTAAACGCTCCTTTAGATTTTGTCGACCGCTACTGAAAGCGATAGAGCCTGATTACTCTCAATTTATCCTGTTCGCTATCTAGTATCTCATAAGTCGTTTATAAATCATTTTTTTATAGATCGTTTTTATAAATCGTTTATAGGTCCAGTAACTTTCGTATGATTTAGCATATAACGAACGTTATCATTTCACTTTCCGCATATATAACATCGCTGCAATCACTATACATAGATCGTTTTATAGGTTTAGCATATAACGAACGTCATCATTTCGCTTCCTGTATATGTAACATCGTCGCAATTACTACGCATAGGTCGCTTTCTCATCGCGTAAGATGAGAACAACTTTTATACGAATAAAAAATTATTTTTTAAAACAAACGTTCGCTCCTTCGATCGCCCTTCTCGCGCGTTCGAGCGTATCTCCCCTCCCCTCCTCCTTCTCCCCTCGTACGACGCTTCCTCGCGTTCTCGAGAGCGATGTATCGCCGAATGACTCGCGCGCGCGATAGTTCGCTACCGTCCCGACCCCCGCGCGCTATCGCCTCGCGAGAACCATGACGCGCGTCGCGTTATCGCTCGCGCTGACGATATCCCTGCTCGCGACCGTCGCGGCGGCGCTGACCTACGATGACGTCGCGGAGGCGTCCCCTTATCTTCGAACCTACGGCTTTCTGGAAAACGAGGAGAATCATCAGCAGTCGTCGCTACTGGACAACGCGATCGCCCTGAGCGAAGCGCTATCATTGTTTCAGGAATACTACGGCCTGCCGGGAAACGGCGTTCTGACCGTGGAAACGATTCGCGTCATGCGCAAGCCGCGATGCGGCATCGCGGACATTCACGCTTACAGCCCGTTGACGAGAAAGTGGCCGAGGACGCATCTCACGTGAAACTTCAAACTAGCGAACAGAGATACTCTGCGCACGACGCAGAGCGCGTTCGCTCTGTGGTCCGAGCAATCCTCTCTGACGTTCTCGCGCGACCCGCTGCGCCCCGATATACTGATATCCTATCAATCCGGCGCTCATGCGTACAAGAACAGCGACAACGGGGGCTCGTGCCCGTCGCCGTTCGCGGGACTGGGATCGGTCGTCGCTCACGCGTTCTTTCCGACGGGAGAGCCTAATCAAGTGACCGAAGTGCACGTCGACGAGACGGAGCCGTGGCACATCACGCTGACTAGGCCCCCGTCGGACAGGCTGTATCTCCTTCAAACGCTGACGCACGAGATCGATCACACTCTGGGTCTGACTCACAGTATGAGGGAAGATTCGGTCATGTACGCGTACGTGCCTTCGGAGGAAAGGCGATATCCGCTCAGACTGAGCATAGAGGACGTCATAAACCTGCGAAATCTCTACGGATCGAGAGAGACGACGAATCCTACGATCGTCGACGCTACTCCGACGACCGCGGCGACGACTACGACGACAACGGCCTCGATGACGACGACGACCGCGAGGACGGTCAAGCCGCCGCTCGCTCCCTCCGATACCGCGGATCTATGCGCCTTGAAGCGCATAGACGGAGCGCTAATCATGAATCGTCGCCTGTACGTCGCGCGTAAACGCAACGTGTGGCCCGTCGATATGGGGGAGAGACGCTACGGAGCACCCTTCTCGTTCGCCGACTACTTCAAGTTCCTCCCCCGCAATCTCACTCGCGTATCGGCCATGTATCAGAGACCCTCGGGCGATATCGCGATATTCGCCGGCGACTACGTCTACCTCGCCGATTCGAATTTTCATCTTAAAGCGGGATGGCCTAGATCCGTCGAATACATCGGATTTCTCTGCGACGCTAGGATAAACGCCGCGACAAACACGCACGCCGGGCGCAGCTACGTCATATACAACGACGATAAAATAGCCGAGATAAACGACTGCGCGATGACCGTCGCGAGGCACGGCGCTCTGCGAGATACGTTTTCCGGGATACCATCCGCGATAACGGTCGCCTTCCGCCACGTCGACGGTAATCCCTATTTTCTGAAGAAACGCGAGTATTACGCGTACAGCGAGTTCATCGACGCGATAATCTCGGCCGATCCCTTCGATCTTAGTATACTGGGAATAGAATGCCCAGCCGATGGCATTCTGCATCGATTGAGCGAACTCGTCTCCAAGCTGTATCGTCTGGAATACGCGTCCTTCGAAAGACCGCGCAACGACGACGATGACGACTAAGATCAGAAAATCCTGAAACCTAACGTTAAGATTACGTTTTAATACGCTGTTCTAAACCGCTGTTCTAAACCGCTTCCGCTGCATTAATTAACGCGCATAACGCGCGCGTCGAGAATAAAGATATCGAGATGACGATCGAGATCGCGTCGTATATAAGGCACGTCTCGATCGTTGCGCGACATTTCCGATGATATTCGCGATTAACGCGCGTACGATTCTAAGCGAACGTCTCCGACGAATCTCTCTCTCTCCTCGCGATAACCAACGTTAACGACGCCGTCGCCACCGCAGTGTTTTCCTACGAACATCGAAGCCCTGTTCGCGAGACCGATCATGTTCGCCGGACTCGGACAGGAGTACCGCAGAGTGTTCGGGGACTCGTCCGCGACGCCCGCGACTCCGTCGGCGCCGCCGATGACGGGCCCTTTCGTCGCCCCGCCTAACCGTCGAGACGATTACGCGGTTTCCGCCAAGGACGAGGATACCACCCGCGATCGTTCCGACACTCCGCCCGTGATCAAGAAAGCTCGACTGTACACCGAGGACGAGTGAGTATGCGCGACGCTTCGCGAGTTACCTCGCCCGAGCGTTCTCGATTTCCGCCTCGATCGGCTATTTCGTATAATAACGTCGTCTTTTTTTCTCTCCGATCTCGACAGATGGAATAGAAACTGGCTGTTCAAACGCGAGATCAATTTCGCGAGACATCCGATTCAAATATTAGGAAGACGATATCCGCTGACCAAGACGGCGTACAAGTACATCGATATCGCCGTAACCGTGAAGCGCGAATCTCAAGTCGACATCGTCCTAGGAGACTGCCATGGAAAGGAGATATCTCTGACGCCCGACATGTAGAAGGATCTGTTCGCTTTGCGCAACGATATACTGCCGTATTTCGAGAACGACTTGGACGAGGCTGTGGCGCGCTTTCCGACATCCATAATCGTCGGAACCGTGATGCTTCGATTCGGCAAGATAAACAATCTGAAGACGCTGCGATTCGAGACGCCGAAGAATCGCATCGTTCTGTCGCACTCCACCGTGAAGGCGCTGTTCGTTCTCGAGCTATGCGTCAATCGCATCATCGCGTCGTTGACCGGCATACTCGAGACCGTAGACGCTAAGTTATCGCGTTTTCTAGATATCGCGACGGAGACCAACCACCTCGGCGATATTCCGGACGCGATTCGTCGACACGAGCACTTCAACGCGAACGATCTGATCGACTGCGAGTTACACGCTCTGCTATTCGGACTCTATCACAATTTGTAAAACGCTACGCGCAACGAATAAATGTATCGCGATCTCGAACCGTACACTTACCCGTATAATTGCGCTCGAATGAGACGAAACGATCGCGAGTACCGATATTATTCTCAACGTATGTATCTACGTATGTAACTTCATGATATAATAAAAAAATTTTACATGTAATTTATTCTCTTTCTCCTCAATTTACGTCACCCTCGTCTCTCCTCGATTTGCGACGAATTTCCTCCTCCTCGAAATAAATCTAATATACATCGTATATTATACATTGTATAAAATCGTACGTTATATAAATCATACTTTATATAAATCGTATATTATATCTCTTTCAGGCTTACGTCGAATACATCCGCTCTATTATTAACGTCGACCTTATCTCTATCTCGCGCGTCGAACCGGCAGAGGCGCCCGCGGTCGCGCGACGCGTCCGACGGGGCGATCGCCGCTTATCGCGCGCGCCTAGCGCGCCGCGTCCAGAGACGCTCCGACGCGCCGTAACCAGGGACGCGCGCGCTCTCTCTCCCTCTCCCTAGCTCTCTCGCCCTCTCTCTCGCTCTCGCGCCGAACCCTCGTCCTCCCCCTCCGCATGACGTCACGACCCTCCGTTTACCCACCCGACGGCGAGCGGCTCCCCTCGCCCTACCTACCCCCCCTGCTCGCTCCCGCCGCCGTTACCCTGCCCCTCAGATATCGTTCTATCTCTCTCGCTCTACGAGACCTCTCTCTCGCACCCGTGGAAAAAGTGGGTTAAAACCCGTATATTCTCCCTACTTATTCACGTGAGTCGATCAGACAAATATACAGAATTACGTTAATAACGGAAGAATAGAACGACTAGATAATTATACAAGATAGACGATCGAACATAAGCGCGAAAAATTAACGGTAATATTGTAACGGAGCACCTTTCCCGCCGCGGATCGGCTCGCCGGAATCAGGGTTCGGGAGAAGGGGAGGCTCAGGCTCGCAAAGCACCACACAGTTCTGGGCGAAAATATGTTTATTTAATAAAAGAACAGGCAGATGAGAGTTTCGGGCGGTAGACCCGTACAAGTATGCTAAGCTGGGTCTTTACAGGACGCCGTGACGGAGCCGCGGATGCGGCTTCACTTATACTAAATCTAAGAGCTAACGGGTATGACCTAATACTAATCGAGATATTTACAAAACCTATGCTACAATTGCGCGGACGGTCCTTTCGAACGCGGATCGCGGAGGAAAACCCAGGGGGTCGCGTGCGGTATATCACGGACGCGGGCCTAACAGGGCCTGCCAACCGAGGTCGGCTGAGGACGGGAGAACCCGTCCCCCGGGTGACGTACACGGGTGCCCCGTAGTACGTCGGGATACTGGACGTCGGTAGCAACCGACCGGGCCCGGTAGCAACCGGGCTCTAGACCAGGGTAATTAAACAGGACCCCCCCAGGAGTGATGTCGCGACGCGAAAGTCCTAATGGGTGGTCTCGTGTCGGAGGGCACGGACTCGGGCCTAGCAGGGTCTGCCAACCGAGGTCGGCTGAGGACAGGAGAATCCATCCTCCGGGTGACGTACACGGGTGCCCCGTGGTACGTCGAGATACTGGACGTCGGTAACAACCGACCGGGCCCGGTAGCAACCGGGCTCTAGACCAGGGTAATTAAACAGGACCTCCCCCCAGAATAACACGCGGACGACGGACGAGCAGTTTAACGGGCGACCGTGACGAAAGGTCGGTCGGGGATCTGGTAGGAGGGAAAAGAAAGAACGGTTTATTTCACAACAATCTTATTCCGCGGAGGGCCGTGAGATATGCAGAACGGGTGGGGCGGTCGTTGTTCAGGAAACGTGGGTACGGCTGTCCTCCAGGAGCTGCGGTGGTTTCCTCAGATACCGTGGATCCGGCTGTCCTCCAGGAGCTATGGCGGCGGTCGTTCCCCAGGTGCGGTGCTCGTCCATGTAGCCCGAGGCCGTAAGGGGGGGGGGCGTTGTTACCGGAGCCGTGAAAACGGCTAGTTGTTCCAAGAGCCGTGAAAACGGCTAATTGTTCCCGGAGTCGTGAAAACGGCTGTACGGATGCCAGGATGCGAGCCGGACAAGTCCGGACGTCGGTTGAGACCGACCGAGTACGGGAGCCCCGTACCCTGGACCGGGTCGTCCGTGGCTCGACGGAGAGTGGGTCGGAAGTAAGCCGGACAATTCCAGACGTCGGTTGCAACCGACCGAATACGGGAGCCCCGTACCCTGGACTGGATCGTCCGTGGCTTGACGGAGGGCTTCTGGACGTCGGATGCAGCCGACCGGGCACGGCTAAGGCCGTGCTCTGGACCAGAAGCAAGGATGGAAGAGGAGTTCGGTAGGCTTCGAATGCCCAGGGTGCGCCCTGTGGCTTCTAGCGTCCCGAGAGTCGGGATAGGAATAGGTACCGGTCTGCCGGAGCGGCCGCCTTATATACCCGGCCAGCTACCCCCACTCGATACCCCCACGCGGTCATGCGCGTAGTAGTGGGGCAGGACGTGACTCTCAGCCCGCGGCTCCCAATTCCGCGGCTCGGTCGAGGTGCTCAATCGGCGGCGCTTGGCGCCAAAAATGGCGCCGCGCTGTGTCGTGCGCTAGTAACGGCCTAGCCGTTACAATATAATCTCAAAAACGTAAACAATAAATTATAATAAAGGTCGAACGATTCACACCGCAGGGATACGCGGGTCGATGCCGCGACGCATTTACCGGATATCAAATATCGCGATCGCCTTTTTGTGTGAATTCGTCGTATCGCAAGTTACTTTACATAAAAATTTTCAAACAACAATAATCGCCAAAAGAAAAGACAATACATTTGACTGTCGGCGCTTAACCAGGAGAGAAGGCACTCAATATTATCGTAGCTCGAACAAAGAATGTCGGCCGGCCATCGCACTCTACTACGCAATTATCGAAACACGAATTACTTTCTAGCAAAGAATTTTGTGACGGCAGCAATTCGACACGGACTCTGTTCGGACTAATTTTACCTGATACTCTAACGATAAAACGGCCTGAGGAGGTCGACGCTCGTCTCACTGATGACTCCTTGCGGCTCTCGGCTCTCTCGATATCCAGTCAGACAATCTCGGTGGAATGACATCGCTGTTATTAGAGAATGTAAAATAACCAATTTCGTCTATAAGTGCTAGTAAATTTTCCAAGTATTTGTATTTCGACTATTGAAGCGATTTCGAGTATACGTACACGTTCTCGAAACGTACACTGTGCGGACTTTCTATCAAACTAATCAACACGTCTTACCACAGTTTGAAGGGCCGCAAACAATACCGCGTATAGTAGTCGGCAGCATGTCACCATGCTTGCGTACTTTTTTCTCCGATATTAGTCTATCGTCGAAATTTGATACTTTGATTACCCGCACTTGTCGCACGAACCGCATGTTTTCTCTTTCGAATCAATTTTGCGAATGATCACGAGGGGAGACCTATTTATAGAAGTGTCTCGAAACCACTCAGTATCAAACATATTTCTCCTTCTGTCGGATGAGAGAGACATTCTCCGGCTTACCGCCGAATAACTGCAGTATATCCCAAAGATTTTATTACTGAAAATTTTGGCGATTACGTGGAACGATTATGGGACAAGCTTCCAGAATATATAAAGGCTGATCCGGAGATTCGACAATCGTTCGTGCATGTGACATTACAACCAGCCGTGGCAACGAACACACATGGACGGTCCACCACCGTTGATAAAAGATTGCTAC